ATATCTTGACTTTTGAAATGTACTAGTCATTTCTGTTATACAATTATAGACTTGAAGTAATTATAAGTTTTTTTTAAAAATTCATTATTAGATGCATGGTGACTACAGAAAACACAATGCACTGTTTTCCCTTCTTTCCTCTAGGCTTGGGAAGCAGTTAGAGTGGAGTATATGCAATGTCCAGCCATCGTTTCCTCATACAGGCAAAAGCTCATCAACTACTTCACTGTGCAGCTCAGGTAACGGTTCTGGAGGGGGTCTGCGTTGCTCTTCTGTAACCTCTGCTGCCTGGACCACCTTCTTGTGCTTACCTCTGCCTCATATCTCGTAATGCTATGGATAAAAAATTATTCCAAGCACATTAAGTTTCTCCTATTCTGTTATTGTCAGAAGGAAGATAATTATGTAGGTAAACGTGTTAATATTTTGTTAATAAAGCCTGTCCCAGGTCGTTTTATGATTTTATTCCAGTTAAGTAGATTAAATGTTTGAATTTGAGCCCCTCAAGGATTGCTCATTTTAATAGTTTGGTTTTAAGACAGTGCTTTTAGAGCTTGGTTCATGGTTCAGCATTCACTAAATGTTCTCCATTGCTAGGTTGACCACTTTTCTGATTTCGTCTGTGTTAGTATTGGGATGACATTTGCAGAGTCAGGGATACGTGTCAAGTCCACTTTTCTCCTTGAAGCCTTTTTTCCCCTGAGCGCTTTGGGAGCGGTTACTGAATTCTGTCCGCTTCCCTTCTAGTCAGGGCAGAGTGACGTGGAGAGCCGCTGATGAGCTCCCCTGGCTACTTCAGCAGCAGGGAAGTAAACAGGAGCTGCATGATTGCCTTCTCAATCTCTTTGTGTCTCAAAACCTTTATAAAAGGTAAGAAAAGTCTAAAGGACACATTTCTAGAGAAAACAGATTTAAACAGCCAGTCAGTTTAACAGAGGGGGGTGAATGGCATTTTCATTTCACAGATTAGTCCAATCAGCAGCCTTAAAATACAATACAGTGTGATTGAATTTTAAGATAGTTTGCAAACATGCTGTAAGTTACGCTTACATCAGATGACCCATATATCATAGAATCTTGATGCTTCTGAAGAACAGAGGCTAAGTGCTTTCGATGGCAGTTTTCTCTCTTATTCTTGCATTTAAAAGTCTTAAAATAACAAATCTATTGCAATTGAGTCCATTCTCACTCCTGGTGCCCTTTAGGTTGACAAAGGGTGGCATCTTCACAGAGCGCCCTGGCACGGTTCTACTGCAGAGCAGTTGGGGTGTTTGAACCGCTGGCCTTTTTGTTGGCAGCCAAGCATTTACCCACTGCCCCCAGGGCTCCTGTTCTTGCATGTGCTGTGTTTGTTGTTGTTAGGTGTCCTCAAGTCAGTTATGACTGTGACCACGGCTCTCAGGACCCTGTGAGCAGCTGACTTGGCCCTGCCCGGCCCTGCACCAGCCTCATGGTCCCCGACATGCTTGAGCCAATTGTTGTGGTCACGTGTCCACCCATCCTGTTGAGGGTCTTCCTCTCTTTAGCTGACCTCTGCCTTTCCCAGCATGACTGGCAGTGGCTGGGGGACAAGGGGCAAGAAAAGATTCCTCACCTTGTCCTTCCTAAATGCATTCTATGTAGCTTTTGTCAGTCACAAAGTGACCTTTTTCTAAATGGTCTCTCTCTGACCTGCTAACGAGGCTTTCTGCCTCACTTAGACATTCAGTTATTTCTCATAACCTCACTATGTAATTTGTTTTGCTCCTGGGTAAATGCCCTCAAATTCCTTCACTGCACCTGTTAAATTCTTTCTCTTCACCATTCCAATTCCTCTAAGAATTAATTCTGTAGTATTTCCCCTCTGCCATCCTACTTAATATTATCCCAGGTAAATAAGATTACTTTTATCATTACGATTCCTTGATGGGAATGCAAAGCAGATAGTCAATGACAAATTGTATTTCATTGGTTTATTCTGTTCTAATTTTCATCCTTTAAAATAAATTCTTAGATGAGCCTGGCAGTTGGCTCTTTCTGATGAAATGTCTAAAAGGCTCAAGGTAAACCCCCACGTCCTTCCTGTGATGGTGTCAGGAGGACTCGGGCTCTTGTTCCTGAAGTAATTCATTTTTATGCCAGAGTGTCTTGTTTGTGAATCATTATTTCCTGAATAACAATCTCACAGCTAGTTAATCAGTCAGGTTGGCAGACCTCACACGAGCATCTGTTTGTGTCTTTCTAACTGGGGCAATAATTTACTGTCATCCCAAACTTAAAAACTCTCCTGAGCTCCTCTTGCCATCAGTACAAATAACGGCCTCCACCAGAGCACATTCTCACTCACTCTGGACCCTCAAGTGGGAACCCACTCACAGCTCACCCTCCAGCGAGTTCCCAAAGGCTGTAAATCACCTGAGGGGAGATGGCTCAAGTGTCTGCCTTGGAGCCGCTGGGGAGTCCACAAAGAGGTCCAGCCCTCCAGTTAGCAGATAACGCCTGTGGACAGGCCTCCAGGGAGTGCACTGTCGTGCACAGAGAGGTCCAGCCCTCCGGCGGCAGGTACCTCCCGTGGACAGGCCTCCAGGGTGTGCACTGTTTCTTTAAAGCGGCACTTGGTGTTCTCCTCTCTGAAAAGAAGGATGATGAGGTGTACGAAATCAGACAGCTTACTTGGAGACATAGGCAGTGTTAGACCTCGGAGCTGAGGCCACATCTAACCTCATTACACGCTGGCCTTCCAAGTCAATTCCAGCAGAGGCTCCTTTGGAGGAAGGTCTCCTCTGGAGGAAGGTCCCCACCTGTCCCCATTTGAGCCTCAGAAGCCTGAAGGATGGGCCTTGTGTGTCCATCGACTTCCTGTCACTGACTGAGTTTCAGGATGATGTATCTGTAGTTTGATAGGAATTATGACACTTTTACTTGGTGGTGGATTTTAAAATCGGTTTCTCATGAAATTCCTATTATCTGTTGAAACAGAGGACACTTTGCTGAGTTGCTGAGTTACTGGCAGTTTGTTGGCAAAGACAAAAGTGCCATGGCCACAGAATATTTTGACGCCTTGAAGCAGTATGAGAAAAAGTGTGATGGCACAGAGAACTTGGTTTGCTTGGCGGACCTTTATGAGACGCTGGGCCGGTTCCTCAAGGATCTGGGCCTTCTCGGTCAGGTGAAGCAGCTGGAGGAGGGGCAAGTGTGGACCTGCGCACCCCTCTGTCCTGGGGGGCTCTGTGTGTCCCTCGGGTGGCAGGTCCCTTGGGTGGCAGGTCTCCACGCTGACCGCCCTCCTCCTGTGCAGGCCGTGGTGCCCCTGCAGAGGTCCCTAGAACTTCGGGAGACAGCCTTGGACCCAGACCACCCCAGCGTGGCGCGGGCCCTGCACCAGCTGGCGGGCGTGTACGTGCAGGGGAAGAAGTTCGGACACGCCGAGCAGCTGTACAAGCAGGCCCTGGAGATGGCCGAGACCGCCTTCGGGGCCGACCACCCACTCGTGGCCCGTGAGCTCGAGGCGCTGGTCACTCTTTACCAGAAGCAGAACAGGTGAGGCAGGTGAGGCGAGGCTGCCCTGCCGTCAGGTGGCGGGGTCCTCCCAGCCGAGTCCTTCCCGTGGCTGCAAGGCCTCTTCCTCCCTGTGCCTTTGACAACACCATGCTCGAATTCTGCCTCCCACTCTGAAGTTTCCAGGAATAAACAGAAGGGAGTGAAACTAGACGCATCTCTCCTTGAGAATGTGAGAGCCTGGACGTGGAGCTGGTGGCATCCTGCTCCCTCGCTGGCCAGCTTTGTGATACTGGGCATGTGGCTTTGGAAGGCCAGGCCCACTATCTCAGGCCAGTCCTGACCCCCAAGACCCCCATCCAGTCTCCAGGGCAGCGAAGTCTCGCACAAAAAGGCTGCCTCTCCTTGTACCCTGGATCGACTGGCTGGTTCAACTGCTGTGCGCGCAGTAGCCCGCTCTGCCCGCAGGTCCTCTGCCCCCGGGTCATCCTGACGCTGTTGCTAGGGAACAGTCCAGCGGGACAGCTGTTTGTGAATGAGACATGGCCTCTCTTCCACACACCTGCTGTCTACAGCACTGAGTGATTGTGACAGAGCCACGTGAGATCTGTCCAGTCCCTTACAGAACACCTTTGCCAGCCCCATGTTTGTCACGTGTCCACAAAATGTTTATCTTCTGTCAAAAGTACTTTCTTTTGCTCTATCTTAAGTGATGCATATTTGAAATTTTTCTTCTTAAAATCTTGTTTCTCACAGATTTTATGAGAATTGCAGACAGATGTGATCACAAATTATCCTGTCCAAAAAAGTTTGCATAACAAATAAAAATGTTGGATTTTCATTTAGTTAGATAGCCATTTAGAAATTCAAATACAGTTAAATGCCAGCTGCTTGAAGGGCTCAATTTATAGTGTGTGCCACAGAGTCAGAACCAACCCGGAGCTGACCTTCCGGCAGGTTTTCAGAGGCAGTAAATTGCATGGGAGGAGAGTGCCCCTCCTTCTTCCACCAGAGAAGCTGGTGGATTTGAACCACACGCCCTTGGGTTTGCAGCTCGGCTTCTTACCACTAGGCCACAGGGCTCCCTATCATAATTTGATTTTATGAAGTCTTCCTTTAAAGATTTATAATTTCAAATAAATAACCAGTTCTAAAAAGAATGCTATATTAGATAGTCAAGTAAGGTTTGATGCCAGGGAAGGAATAGTTTCATCTCAAGTGTGATGCCTTGAACACATCCCTTTTGTTTGACTGACTTTATTTCCCCCCCCCCCCAAAGATATGAACAAGCTGAGCATTTTCGGAAAAAATCCTTTAAAATTCGCCAGAAAGCTACGAAGAGAAAAGGCAACTTGGTAATGAAAGATTTCTTTTGTATTGCGTTTAAAACCAAAGAGGAAGACTGCATCTTTGAATGCCGTTCTGTAGGTATAAACTTTGCATGTCTAAGGCCTTTAAATGTTAAAGTGACTTCCAGAGAAGGATTGAAACTTACTGACTTGTATGGATATGGAAGTGAGATATTTCTGTTGTTTTATTAAGTAGCAGTAGTACAGGAAATGGAATCATAGTCCTTTTAGAAAGTAGAACTATAAAGTTGATTGGCTTCAATACTGCTCTAATTCCTCTACTTAAAACTAGGAAATGAAGTGAAATAAATTCAGTTACTATTACACCTTACATGCAAGTGCAAAGAAATTCTTTCCCTCTCATGAAAAAGACACTCTTTTCATTTTCTGAAGTTGCTGATAAAACCTCAGCATTGCATGTTCCTTTGTTATATCTTAAAATTGTTGTATGCATGTGATGCTTATATGTTTAACAGTGGGGTAAGCAATTGTCCACAAGTTAATTCTGTTTACAAATCTTTTTGAAGCACCTTGAGATATAGTTCATCGGGCTAAAATATCATTTTCTTGGGATTTTTTAAATTTACAATGGCATGTTGTAAGGAAATGTTGGATATTCTTAAATATCATGTAGTTAATTTAGTGTGAAACATACAATAATTAATGACTAAAGGAAAGGGGAGAAAGAATATGCTGTGTTTGCGCTAGTGTCCTTGTGGGGCTTACGTTTGAGCGCTAACACTGTTTGGTTAGTACACTTGGTGACTTGGTGTTTGATGGTTATGTTTGCTTTAGTATGGATTTGCCCTGTTACGGAGAAGGGCGCTCCAGTTAGAGGAGCTCACACTGGGGAAAGACACACCTGAAAATGCTCGGACGCTCAACGAACTAGGTGTCCTCTACTATCTTCAGAACAACCTGGAGTGAGTACCGCACCTGATCATGAGGACAGTGTAACGTGGAGTGAGTGCCACCCCTGATCATGGGGACAGGGTAACCTGGAGTGAATGCCACACCTAATC